TTTATTCTGAGTAAATGGCATTCAGCAAAGGAGCAGCTACCTGGTTCAGATCCACAACTAAGTCCCCATCAAGCCATTCATTCTCCCTGGGCCTTTATCAAGTTATCACAGCCTGTAGCTGCGTCGGCTTAAAGGCAAGATAAGTCATTGACTGGAAAGCAGTTTCCTACAAATGATTTGTTCAATATCTTTATCAATGATCTGGATGAGGGGATCGAGTGCACCCTCAGTAAGTTTGCAGACGACACCAAGTTGGGCGGCAGTGTTGATCTGCTCGAGGGTAGGAAGGCTCTGCAGAGGGACCTGGACAGGCTGGATCAATGGGCCAAGGCCAACTGTATGAGATTCAACAAGGCCAAGTGCCGGGTCCTGCACTTTGGCCACAACAACCCCATGCAGCGCTACAGGCTTGGGGAAGAGTGGCTGGAAAGCTGCCTGGCGGAAAAGGACCTGGGGGTGTTGGTCCACAGCCGGCTGAACATGAGCCGGCAGTGTGCCCAGGTGGCCAAGAAGGCCAATGGCATCCGGGCCTGTATCAGAAATAGTGTGGCCAGCAGGAGGAGGGAAGTGATCGTCCCCCTGTACTCGGCACTGGTGAGGCCGCCCCTCGAATACTGTGTTCAGTTTTGGGCCCCTCACTACAAGAAGGATGTTGAGGTGTTGGAGCATGTCCAGAGAAGGGCAACGAGGCTGGTGAGGGGTCTGGAGAACAAGTCTTATGAGGAGCAGCTGAGGGAGCTGGGGTTGTTTAGCCTGGAGAAAAGGAGGCTGAGGGGAGACCTCATCGCGGTCTACAACTACCTGAAAGGAGGTTGTAGCGAGGTGGGTGTTGGTCTCTTCTCCAAAGTAACTGGCGATAGGACGAGAGGAAATGGCCCCAAGTTGCGCCAGGGGAGGTTTAGATTGGATGTGAGGAAAAACTTCTTGACTGCAAGAGTGGTTAAACATTGGAACAGGCTGGCCAGGGGAGGGGGTGAGTCACCATCCCTGGAGGTATTTAAAAGACGTGTAGATGAGGCGCTTAGGGACATGGTTTAGTGGGCATGGTGGTGTTGGTTTGACGGTTGGACTCGATGATCTTAGAGGTCTCTTCCAACCTTAATGGTTCTATGATTCTATGATTTATTGCACTGATGCCATTTTTAAACAGAATGGCCCCGACTGCATTTATTTTGCCATGATTACAGGAACCGTGTCGAGGTACCCATGTTTTTGAAAAGCTGAGAACATCTGATGGAAAAGTGTTCCAGTTATGGCACCAAGGAATCAAGAATGCACAAACAAGGGATAAATTTCACTTCTGCAACTGTCCAACATTTTAGCTGAAGAGACTGCTTGTTCACACACAGCTGCTGTGGTGAGATTTGTTTAGGTCTTGACCTGAGCCTATTTGCAGTTTGGAGCTAGGTTGAAATACAGACCAATTGCCTTATTTTTGCTGAAATTGCAGTGGTTTGGGAGGAGGCTTTTGTCTCTTAGCAAATCTGAAATTTTTACAGTCATGTTGAATCTGCAACTTTTCATCCTTTTTCATTGAGCTTATCCTACCAAGGAGCCTAAAGACAAACTTTCAATATTTTTCTTCACCTAGTGAACAAGGCTGAGCTGTAAGCTCTTTCCCGATGGTCCCCAGGTTTGCTACTGGGTTTCATTAGATGTTTGTGATTTTCACTCTGGCCTGCCATAGTTGTAACAGTCTTTTTTGCTTCAGTATTTTATTTTCCATGCTAGTTTTTAGCCAGTCTGCTCTCTTTACTTTTGTATTTTTATATATTCAATAATGCATATAGGCATAATTACATATGCAGTATAATTATGTTTTGCTTGATTATATATGCCACCTTCTTTTCTTAATCATCACAGACACTGGACTCTCATTCCCCATTTCATTCAGTCCTGTGAGGCACAGAGCAGTACTTAGAGGCACAAAGCTCTCAGCTTCCATCGTTCTTGGCAGCAGCTGCCTCAACATCTGATGTGCAACTACAAGCAAAGTCCCATGTTGCTTGGCATGTTCCTCCTCATTGCATCCTTTGCCTAATCAGGAGCTGCAAGTACAAGCCTATGCATGCTCTGTCACCAGTTTATCCAGAAAAATCTCCTGCAGGCCTGGGTTTGATAAGAACGCAAGATTTCATCAGTCCAGGCATGGCTTCAATGTTCTTTTTGTTTCTATTTCTTAGCCACAACTTACCCAGCTCAGATTTATGACTAGCTCCAAACCACGTGAGTTTTCTGGACAAATATAATTCGCCCTCAGCTTCACCCCTACATTGTCTCCACTTGTCAAGAGAGAAGCTGAGGCATAGAAAAGGGCTGTAATTTGCCCAAAGGGTGACAGAGGTAGAAACAGAATCAGCATCTCCTGATTCTGAGTCCAATTCCCCAGACCCCAGGACACACTGGTAAGTAGGTGTTAGCATGCCCATTATAGCCCCTTATAGTGAAGTCTTTAACATAATTTTAATCACTGAATAAAGTGATTGATAAATTATTAAACATTTAAATAACAGTTAACTTTTTACTACATCATCAGGTTAATAACCTATTGTTTATTTTGATAGTTTGTAAATATGGATAGTGAATCTAGATACGGAAACAGAAAATGGCTGAAAAGGGAATACAATGAAGCACTGCTAAAACAGTGCTATTCCTTTAGCACTTCCAAACCCCCATAATCTAATTATGGTTCAATAATAGACCTGGGGAGTAGGGACAGGATAAAAGAAAATAAACGGAAATCAACAATAGAAACCACCTCTGTAGAGAATGGGCAGTTCAAGGCTGGTCAGTGGTATCTTTTCAACTCAGCATGGGCTTCATTTCTCTCCTTTCCCACTGTCCTCCTTACATGCTGCCTTTGTGCCAGTTTGAGTGGTTTGAAAAAAAAAAAAAATTGGTGTTTTCCTGCTTTATGCTGTTATTGAGAGACTTCTTATTTCCCCATTCATTTTAGCAGTACAGTAAATGCCTTCTTTTTCAGCATTTTATGAACCAAGTAAATATTAAACAAATTCAGGGAGAAAGCACTTGAGTGTCTTAGACCAACGCAACGATTTCTGAGATCTCCATAGAGTCAAAATATGTCTCACTCTGCTATTTAGCAGTTTGCACATGTCTGCAACCCACAGTTTGCAACATGAGTTTCCAAGCACTGTAGCCTTTTCTGTTGACTAAATACCTTAGTCTCGTAAGGGCCAGTAGCTCAGACCCTAAGATGGTTCAAGACTTTGTCTGATTCAATTACTCTCATGGTAGTCTCCTAGATCTCTTTTGAAGCCCTTATTAAAAAAAAAAAAATGCCATCACAGTTGCTGTCTTCCATTCCTTGGTGCCAAGACAGTTTCAACAATAAGTTACATACTCCATTCAACTGTGCAGAAATTATATATTTCAATTTTCTTAGAGTCCTTGGGTGAAAATTCAATGTCTTGATGATTTGTCAACATTCATTTGAACGACTGGTTCTAAAGCTGTTTGACTGATGGTTTAACTGGAGATGATGGACAAATTTCTCATCAAGAAAGGAATGTCCCTAAGCTCATTTGTCATGAACATTGGTGAAGATAATTCATTGGCTTTGCAGCCAGGGACTCATATTTCTTGTGCTTTCCTCTAATATCTCGGTCCTCCATTGGCCTGTAGACACACTGGTAGCCTTCCTATTTCTGGTGCACTTGAAAAAATTACCATCAGGGTAAATGCATTTAGCAATTTGTTCAGCTAATCTGTTTTTTCAGTCTATCTTAAAGTTTTTTATTTAATGTGCCAATGTTTGTGCTCTTCTAAATTTAACCTATTTGGACAGTGTTTTCATTATTTTTACTTTAAATAGCCTCCTTTATTCTTCTGCTTATCTATGACAGCTATTTCATGTCCTTTCATGTGCTTTTCTGAGCCTTCAGTATGGCATCTCTATAGTCTTTATGCCACCTGGAAGTATTTTACCCTTTGAAACTGACCTTTTGCATTTCATTTTTGCATGCTTTTCCATTATTGAGTATTTTCTACATATTCAATATTGCTTGCAAAGTTTTTTTGGAGTATATCATATATACCACTTATAATCACTGTAACAAAGAGCTTCTTCCATAGTGTCTCTGGTGCCAACTCTTGGTGCCTTTTTCAGGAATACATCAACAGCTGTTTCTCATTTTGAGAAAACAAACAGTCAGAGAAAAATTCCTCCAAAACAGCAGCTGTTCATGTTTTAAAAAAAAATTGGTCTCTACCTCATAGCTTCCCCATGAATCTTTAAACACTTCTTGAAAGTACTTACATTGTGTCTGTGTTTGGAGAAAAACACTGAATATCACATGAATCACAGTAAAATCATAGAAGTTGATACCAGTGTTGAGCAGAAATGCTGAGAAGCTTGATGATAAAACGATTGGTGGGGAGTGCAGGTGCAGCTAGGGCTGTTGCTGTTGTCTAGAAAATGATGTCAAAAGAAGATGACTTTAAACAACGTAGGATTTTTTTTTTGTTGTTGTTCCTTGAATCTACCTAGGAGGCTTTGACAACATATGAAGAACAAGAATAATACTGAATATACTTTCATCTCATGTTTTTTTCTCTTGTACTGGTGGAGGTTACTGATAATTTTGTAGGAGAGCAGAGGGGAGCAGCTGCTTACTGCTGTTGTGTGCCCAGTCAACAACTCCCATCAGCCTCGAGCTACCTGGAGGTTTTGTCAAGTTACAGTCTGAGCAGAGGTGCTAAAGCCAGAGAAAGCACACTCCTCTGCTAGCTATTTATGATAGGCTTTAATGGGAGCCGTCTTTGACCAAGACCCAGCTGCACATATTTAGGAGGAAGCAATCGTCAATGTTTAGAAGAAATGGCAGCTATAAAGCTCAAGGAGTTAATAGAGATCAAATGGTACAGGAATTTGTTTTATACACAGGTGTATGTGGCTATCCACAGGACAGGCAAGAGCTGTCATTCTGAGACAGTTACCTGCACACGATAGCTATATCAATGTTTTTAACCTTTGGCAGATTAAGAAGACAGCAGGATCAAAGTGGACAGACTTCCAGCATGGACAGCAGAGGATCCCTTCAGAGCCATGAGAAACTCCAAGACGGACGTAACAACAATTTACTGGGACATGGCTGCACAAGAGGCTGCAGCAGCTAGTGAGCCATGGCCCCGCACACGCTTCCACCCTGGCAGGGCGAGGAAAGGTCCTCTCTGTGCATGCCTTCACCTTCGCCCCTCGGATCCTGGGACATCTGACTCCTCCAAAAGCAGGTTCCCCAGACAAGGACAAACCCACAGAGCACACCGCCTGACACTTTCCACGTATGACCCTGCTCTTCTTTTGACTCTGCCACTGGAAAAATGACCATCAGCAACAAAATACAGTTTTATAAGTAAGTGTGACTTTCCTTTTCAAAATCCTGGAAGAAAACTTGAAACAATTCATTAGGCAGCCTCTGAAAGATTGCCACGTTTCTGGCTACTTGCAAGAGACAAAGTTATATTGGGCCCAGCTTTATCTTGAATGCTTTACGTTACCCTCTCTGTCTCCGTTAATTAAAATGGTCCAGTTTGGAATTTTGTGAAACTGCTGGACACAGCTGTTTCTGAGCACCTGCTGTTGAGTTTATAAGAGATGTAAATACGTGAATGTAGTGTCAAATAGGCCAAACATTGAATAATTTCATTTAAATACCTGAAACCCATTGGAAAAGTTGCAGCGGGAATGTATTCACATTGTTCTTTAACTTCATGCATTCTGCTTTGTTGTAAAAGATGTGACCCTGGCCAAGTCAAAGTTTTGCTAGTGACTTTAGTGGATGCAGGATCAGACACATCAGTAGTGTATGATAATCATGACAAAGAAAGACCTTTTTATTTGTAACAATAGGCTGACTGAGCCAGAGTTGAAAAGCAGCTTAGTGAGGAGAACTAAAAACATTAGGAATTTGCTCAGATCCATAGTTAGGTGTTATAAAATGTGAAGAAGTTACATGTGTCTCTGTTTTCATGGATCTATTCTGGATGAGAACCATCTTGAATAGAAAGAAACATACTTCATCCAAAGTATTGTTGACATGAAAGCCTTTTTTTGGGGGGGTCTTAAATAGCATCCACAATTCCAGACATTTATGGTATTTTACAACTTGTACATCCATATTTTGATAATAAATGCATGCTTGTTCTGTCCTATTGTGCTTTTATTTTTAAGGGTTACCATCCATTAGCAAATTTCATTTCAAATTTTTGAAACAAATAAGTTAGGCTTTTGAAAGTGAAAAACATTTTATTTGTAATAATCTATTTTTACTGTATTGTTCCATTCTATCTTTTACAAAACAAAGTTCTTTGTAATTGAATCTATTTTTAAATTTGGTTTCACACTATATGTAATTTTTGTCACAAATTTTTCACAAAATACAGATTTTTATCGCTCCATGAAATGATATGGTGTTCCTATCAACAACAGAGCAGTTTACAAATGTAGTAAGGTAAAGATTTTACATCTGTCATGAGCACGGTGTTGGTCTACTTGCTTAATTTGGGCATAGACTGAAATAATCATAGGATCAAGCAAAGGAGCAGAGTTTTCCTGGTCTTGCAAGGACACATTTCATTGCCCAGAATAAATTGTTTCATACCCATCCCTTCTTATAACGACCTTTTTTTTTTTTTTGCTTAATATTGCTTTCACTTGAGAAGGACCAAAATGGATAACATTTCACATAATTTCTGGAAACACCTATTGCTCTGTTCCAACTAAAATGCATCATGGTCTTGGATCTTGATCCTGGAAAGAAGTGAAAGATTTTATTTACTTGAGTAATCCTACAGAAATTAATGGCACTACTCATAAGTAAATGCTTGCAGGATCCATGCTGTATCAAATAATATAGATTAGAGCCAGGAAGTTTTTGGAAGCAGGGTCAGTAATATATTAAGATTTTCCATGCAAAATTTTCCAATTTGAAAAACATTTGGGAAAAAAAGACAGTTGCACATTTGCTTTTTTTTGATGATTACAGTTGTTTTGAGCAAGAAGAGTTATTGTGGGTGATCTTGTACAACATCAACCACATAGGATGCAACTATACTAGCACCTTAATTCAGGCCGGGAAGGCATTTTTGAAGTTATTGTCTCCACCTTACAGCCCTACTGCGTTTTGGTTCATATTGTAGCACCCAAATCACATTCTTTCTGGATGACACAAAACCAGAAAATATGCTCCAAGAGAGCACTTAATGCTATCTGCCCAGCCTCGGGCCTGTAGGCCATAGGAGCAGATTAGGGCAAATATGAAATTAAACTTCCTGAAATGCGCCTCACGTGGATGTCAGGTCTGCATCGCTGACCACTCTGCTTTGCAGAGCCCCTCCTGTCGGGCTGCACTGCCTGCTAATGCACACACAGCCATCAAGAAGCCTAGGTTTATAGAATGAAAAGTCCCGATCCACAGACTTTAGAGTATAAGAATTTCATCAATGACTATATTAAAAGCTGGGGGACTTTCCTGCAGATAGAATTTAATTAGCAGCAGGATTCTACAAAACATTTGCAGTCTGAGCTGGCTGGCTGCTGGGTGTCTTTGCCATGGCTTTACTAAGCTGTTTTTGAGAGAAGCCTGGTTATTTGATAGATGGCATCTACTTAAATATGTTTGCACAGAGTATTGTGCATGAACGCAAGCTCACTCGGACACTTTAATTTCACGCTTGTTGCCACACAGTCATTTCTCAAACAACTCTACTCCTTGCAAAAAAAAGAAATCATGACACCAATCAGCTTTATCCAGAGTCCATGGCACTTCCACTGACTGCAACCTGAACATTAGGCTGCATATAATTATCTTTGTCTACTTATTACACAGGTCAGAGAATACCCTCAGCTACACTGCAGAGACCAAATATACTCTTAGTTCATCCTTTCTTTCGACCAACATAGCTGTAAGGAACCGGCCTGTCATGGGAGACCCTGATGATGGTGCAGAAGAAGAAGAAGAAGAAGAAGAAGAGCTCATTCTGTATAGTATGTGCTTTGTGAGGACAGAACAAGTACTACAAGAAAAGTCACACAGCCTGGGAATAAGCCTGAGAAGTGCTTCTTTGGGACTTGTCTCCCCTAGTATTAGACATAAGAAAAATGTACATGTCTGCAGCTGAGTTAGCCAGAGCTAGGCTCAAAAATAAAGAGGGAGGAAAGAAAAAAAAGATGCTTTTAGGATGTGGTGCACTTGCTGCGTCTTGATTGCCTCTTTTAGCAGGTGGTTCTCCCTGTAGCTCTGCCTCCATGGAGTATAATGACAGCGTACACAGCTCAGACGCAGACATGTACATTGTGCACTGACATTTAGTCAGATGAATCTTGTTTGTGATGGCACAGACAATTTGTGGCAATGCAGTCTAATTCTTATGAAAAAATGGGAACATTTCTGATCATTTCAG